GAGGCGGGGAGAGGGCCAGAGGGAGAGAGAAGCAGACTCCCCACTGAGCAGGGAGCCCGATATGGGGCTCCATCCCAGGACCCGGAGATCATGACCTGAGCTGAAGGCAGACACTTAACTGACTCAGCCACCCAGGCGCCCCACTTTTTCTGTTTTCTAAATAAATTCTGTTTGTGCCATTCCCATATCACTTTAATTTCTGGAAAGAGATTTCAGACCACATGGATTTTGTGATATTCCAGGCATGTAACTGAAGCCCAGTATAGTTGTGCTTTGGAGGCTGTAGTCAAAAAGAAATTCAAGATTTGGCAAACTTGCTTTTGTAAGTTCCTTGACCTCACTAACTTCTGGATTAGAAATGTAGAAATGAATTAGAAATGTAGTTCAGGGTTTCAGAGTACTAGTGCAGGTAGAAATTCTCCAAGAAAGTCCCTTTGCCCGAATGAGAGTGAATACAAAGAGCACGGTTTCACCAGCCGATGCCACCTTATTGTTGACTTTACAACTTGGAAATAAACCAAACAAAGGGGCAAGGCTGCAGCAAAGGGGAAAGTGGTACCCAGGGTAAAGCTTTTCCTCAAGCATGTTGTGTGGGACCTTGGTCTGGAAAGGGGCTGTGGCCATATATGGCAAACACTATGGTAGAGTTAAATGAATTTCTTTCCTACAGGACTGCTGTGAACTTTTTTTTTTTTTTTAAGATGTATTTATTTATTTTAGAGGCAGGGGAAGAGCAGTGGAAAAGGGAGAGAGAGACTCCCAAGCAGGCTCAACACCCAGTGCAGAGCCCGAGGCAAGGCTTGATCCCACAACCCTGAGATCATGACTTGAGCTGAAACTAAGAGTCAGACACCCAGCCGACTGAGCCACCCAGGTGCCCAAGGACTGCTGTGAACACTCAGTTACTGATGAGCATTGCAAATCTCCAAGATGGGGAATACTGTATATACCATTTCCCCAAATTATCTAACCATGGAACCCTTTTGTTATCTTTTGGGGCTTGTTTTCTGTAGAATATGATAGCAATGATATGACAGTGTTAAAAATACTGAGCATGTCCTATGTGCTGGACACTATGCCAAGTGCTATAAAGATCCCATCTTGTTTTATTCTCACAACTTTCCAGAACAAGCACTTAGTGTTACCTCCATTATGCAGATGAGGAACCTGAGGTTCAGTTTAAGTCACTTAAGTCCCACAAGTGGCAGACTCAGAATCTGATTCTCAAAAGGGACCGTATCAATTTCTTGACGCCAGTCATGGAGTTCTGAGATTGCTCTCGTGTGCACAGGCTGTGAGCATTTATTTATATATTCCAGTCACTTGAATTTCACAGGAAGACTGTTGTCCTTACTGTAAGCACTGCTGTTGTTATAATCAACCTGGGTCCTCATGAATAGAACATGATAATTCAGTGCATTTCTGAGTCCTCCCAGGATTTCAGAAACAGTGTGTGCCCGCACCCACACTTAGAAATGTGAAGTTAGTGGCACCTGAGTCGTTCAGTCGGTTAAGTGTCCGACTCTTGATTTCGGCTCAGGTCATGCTCTCAGGGTCGTAAGGATCGATCCCCACATCGGGCTCTGCGCTGGGCATGGAGCCTGCTTAAGATTCTCTCTCTCCACCCCTCCCCCACTCCCTCTCTTAAAAAAAAAAAAGGAGGAGAAAGAAAGGTGGAGTCACCTACAGTAGGGTCCTATCCATGCTTTACTCTGTGTGGATAAGGACAAATAAACTGCTCAGCATTTTCCTTCACGCTTCTACCTCGTTTAGGCTGCAGCTGGAGAGGGATTAATTTATGCTAATTCCACACAACCAGCTAAAGCCCATTTATCACAAGTTTCCATCCTCAGCAGAATACACTCAAACGCACATAAGCGTCAGGCACACGAAGGTAAGGCAGCAGCCGCTGTGAGCAGCGGTAACAGGCCCGCTTACACTCAGGGCAGGTCAGCGAGCAGCTCAGCAGCGGAACACACGGGGCAGTGGCGTCCAATCTCCGCCTGCTTGGCCCGCTGGCCCGCCTCTGAGACTAAGAGGTGCAGAGATGGGGGAGCAGAGAGCCGCGCTTTAGGTCTCAGAACGAGAAGCTCCTTTTCCCAAAATACTATGCTAATTACTTACCAGTGCTAATGCCCTTGTGTACGAATGATGTTTTAAGTAGGAATGATTTAGAATTGAATGATAGAAACTTGTGATGTGGAGAAAGAGGATGAGGAAGGGAAGAGAAGAGAAATGTGTGTGTGTGCGTGTGTGTGTGTGTGTGTGTGTTTGCTTTCTCTTTTAGCAAGAGCCTGGCCAAAGCAATTTCCTCTCTTTAGTTTTCCACTTATTTCAAATGCCAACCCTTTCAAGCAGGCTTAGTATCCCTCTTGGTTACTCCATAGCACTGCTCTCTGCTTATTCTGACAAAGCAGGCCACTAGGAATTACAAGTTTAGCTAATAAAGCTAAGCTGCCTCTAACCATCCTAACCAGAGGGGCCCGTCCCTGAATCTGCCTTTGTTCCCTGCCAAACTAAGGGTTTGCATTAGAAGATTACCTATAAATTAGCTTCCCATTTTTATTTCCTTGAGTGTGATAACAGTATTGTGATAATGTCAAGAGAGAGAAGGACCTTATCTTTTAGAGTTACAGATGGAATTACACGATGGCTAAGATTTGCTTCAGAATAATCCAACGGTTGGGGTTGTGAGGACTGGTGGGGGAAAAAATAAAACAATTTTTTTTTTTTAAGATTTTATTTATTTGTGAGAGAGAGAATGAGAGACAGAGAGCATGAGAGGGAGGAGGGTCAGAGAGAGAAGCAGACTCCCCGCTGAGCAGGGAGCCCGATGGGGGACTCGATCCCAGGACTCCAGGATCATGACCTGAGCCGAAGTCAGTCGCTTAACCAACTGAGCCACCCGGGCGCCCCCAAAATAAAACAATATTGTCTGCGGGTTGATGTTTGTTGAAGCCGGGTGCTGGGTACATTTCTTTACGCACATGTACGGTACACACATATGCATATGTATGTACACACACGTGTCGCCCAAGTGTAAGAGAGCATGCTTTATGATTCTAACTGGTCCTTTTAAGACTTGATAATATTTAATTTGCTTTTGGCACTGTAGTTTTAGCCCTAATCCCCACTCTCAGAAATACGTTTTTAAATTTCCAGTATCTTCCATTGAAATTAGCTCCGTGTGTGTGTTTTTGGTAGGACTCAGGTTCAAATCTTTGTTCTTCCACTTCCTAGTTTTGAGTCCTTTGGAAGGACATTAACCAGTGAGAGCCTCACTGTTTTTATCTCTTCAGCGGAGGTCACAGCCCTGCCTTCCATTTGTGGAAATCAGTTGCGATAATGTCTATGAAAAATGGAAGGTGTCCCCTTCCCCGGTGACATCCTACCAATTGCAGTGTGAGTTCTGAAGGTTTTCTGGACTCCTTTGCTAATGGCACTGTGTTTGCCTAAGTAAATGAAAGACACTTTTATTTTTCTCATTTTGACCCGGAAGCACGGGAGCCTTGGGTGTCTCCTTACGGACTCCTCACACACAGACTCACCCATGGGCCCTGCAAGGCATAAGCACTGCTTGACGTAGGAGAGAGAATCACAGGGGTTGCTTGATTTCCCTGCTTCCTAAAAGCTGATTCTACTAAAACAACTAAACCTGTTTTCTGAGAAACAAGGTTTGACCTGTTTCCCAGCAAAACTATTTGGTATCTGGAACATGCTCTCCAGTTGCGTCGAGTGGCTGGAACATAACCTGACAGTAAGCAGACAGAGCGGAAGGAGCCTCGAGTCTTGCTGGAGTCCTTCAGTATCCCGGGGTCTCTTCTTGAACTTTTGCACCCAGGTGACCAGAACGTTGCCTTCTGGGCTCTCAACAGAGAAAGCCACAGAAAATGGTGCTTGAAAGTCACCTATATTTCTGAGTATCAGACTTCACTTAAATGATGGAAGGCAAAGTACAGCACCCGGGCCTTCCAAGGTGTACACGTGGCGTGTCTTTTATGCTTGAGCAATGCTATTTTTGCAAAACATCAGTTTTTTTAGAGGGTGAAAGTTAATTGCAAACAAAGTCCTTAAAGCACGACAGAGTTGATCCTAAGATTGCAGAGGATCTGGAGGTAGAGAGAGATGCTCCCAAGAGCTGCGGTCTAAGGGTAAACTCAGGGAGGAGAATCTGTTATGGATGCAAAGAGGAGAACTCCGTGCATCCTGGTGCCTCTTGGCACGACCTGCTGTCAGGGCTTTGGGAAGTCGTCGAGACAACATCGGGTCGCACACCCCTCTGCTTGCACCACAGCGGCTGCTCTTGTAAAGTAGTCACTTAGCCGTCAGCTTCCTGTGTGCCGAAAAGATAAGCGTGCTCCATGACCCTACAGCCCTTTGTCTCACATGACCCTTGCAGGGACAGGAGTGAGAGATAGCAGATCATTCGTAAGAATATTCCTGTTGCTTTTTCTGGTGATGTGCGTTGCTTAGTGTGAGAAAAGCTTGCACTCAAAGTATAGGAAAAATTCATAATTACGGTCTGATAAATATTGATCAAATAGAATAGCAGCAACAATAGTAAGACAGGCTGATACTTAAGGAAGACTTCCTGTGTGCCCCCCTCTGTTATCAGTGCTTTATGTACGTGGACTCACCTGGTCCTCACACAGACCCCATGAGATATGCACTATTATTCTCTCACCACGTAAGCCCATTAAGGTGAAATCACTTGCCTAGGATCACAGGGCCCGTGCGTGCTAGCGCAGGCCTGGAATCCGAGCAGTCTGGCTCCAGGGCCCCACCGCACTTCCCGAATAGGCCAGCTGGAATGGTCTGGGGGTGGGGGCAGGCTCAGATGCCCCCCACCCACGCCAACCATGTGACATGCATCTGTGCGTAGGCCCCCCGTGGTTTCCTGGGACTCACCGTGCCTCTGTGTGAATGAAGAGCGTCAGCATCTTACGGAGTCAGGCATGCCCGCGTCTCTGCCCATGACCGTGCCTTGTGTTCTTCCCTAGCCCCGCTGGTGGACCTCACTCCAACCCACAGTGGATCCGCCATGCTGATGCTGCTCTCGGTGCTGTTTGTAGGGCTGGCCGTGTTCGTCATCTACAAGTTTAAAAGGTATGTGGCCCTCTGTCCACATCTCCCCTCCCCCTTCCTTCTCCCTGACAGGTGTGGAAGCACGTGTTGCCGTGATGTGTGTCTCCCATGCATAGCAATGATGCTGTCTGTTAATGTTTTAGGAAGATCCCGGGGATTAATGTTTATGCCCAGATGCAGAATGAGAAAGAACGAGAGATGGTCAGTCGGGTCAGTCACACTGAAAGCAGGGCCCATATCCCTCAGACTGAACTAAGGCGGCCTGGCCAACTGATAGATGAGAAGGTGGAATGCCAGCTCATAGGTAAATGATTCCCAGTAGCCATTAGCTGCTCAGCCTGGTAGTCGACGGCTGACTCTGTCTAACCTCTTTCTGGCTTGAGGTAACCACTTTCTCCTGCTCTAACATTGCTGAGAGAAACAGCTAAGATGTCTCTTTCCCTGCTTTCTTCCATTGGAATGAGTGGGGGGAAAAAGCCTTCTTGCTCCTATGTAGTGTTTTTTTTCTCTCTCGTGACTTTATTCCTCCTTTTGCAAAATCCCTTGCTCTAAAATACGGGGCTTCAGAATGTTCATGGGCAAAAGAGCAGAGTGTTGTCTCTTAACAATGTGCAAGGAGGAGGCCTCAGAGGCTGGATCTGGTGATGTGGAGGGCCGGGCAGGGTAGGGAATGACAGGGTAGGACAGAGCCGCCTGGACTCGAGACAACTCCTTGGAGGGCAAATTGCTCCAGAATGCTTATAGAGAAGTGACCTCATGAGACAGAATAGAGGAGGGCCAAGCTGATTACCCTGGGATTTTTTTTTAATTAGGAATCTTTTTTTTTTTTTTAAAGATTTTATTTATTTATTTGAGACAGAGAGAATGAGAGACAGAGAGCATGAGAGGGAGGGGGGTCAGAGGGAGAAGCAAACTCCCTGCTGAGCAGGGAGCCCGATGCGGGACTCGATCCCGGGACTCCAGGATCATGACCTGAGCCGAAGGCAGTCGCTTAACCAACTGAGCCACCCAGGTGCCCTTAATTAGCAGGAATCTTAAAACTGCCCCCCACCCCCAACCCCCCAGGAAACATGGAACCTGAGAATTTTGAGGGCAAGAGGCAGAAAGTTTGCAGAACATCCCAGGAGTGAGGTTTCCTGAGAGAGACCCCTGGAGGGTTAGCCTGTTACAGAGCTGATGGGCAGATTTCTTCCTCCTCTTTACCTGCCCCCTAGCAGAGGTCTTACAGTGGACCTTACCATGTATCAGTAGACGCTCTCTCTCCCTGCCTGCGAAGTAAGCTGGGGATCCAGCCACTAGGTCTAGAGTCTCAGGCGTAATTGCTAAGTCCTACTCTCTATGGCGGAGGAGAATTTCCAGGGAGTTAGACAAACCCGTGGAGCTCCCATTGTGATCCATGGCTGGCCTTGTTTCCTCCTGTCTGTTGGTGTCGGGACTTGAAGCTGTAATGTTGCCACCTCAAATCCTGCATTGCTGACCAAGACGGAGGCATTACTAGATAACCATCCATGCCTCACTCTAATGTCAGAATACCAAACCTTCTAGAAGGCCGCTACCTAAGATTTTTAATCTGTTACTTAGAAAGGGAAAGGAGCACCTAAATGGAAACACAAGCCTCTCTTTAAGCGGATGTGGAAGAGTTCTGTGATGGTAATGGGTGAGATTTCAGTGCAGGGCCTGGCTTGTCTTGGACGTGATAATACCAGCTGGAGCCACATCTGGGGTCCAGTGTTCACAGTGTGCTGGCTTTTATTTGGGGAGACAGGGTGATAAATGTATAATTGCTTTAGGTTCAAAAGAAAAAGGCTTTTCCGTCTTCAAGTCCAGAGAAGCGTTCACCCTATTTACTTCTGAAGCTTCTAAGTGAATTTTTGTGGGTCATTTGATTTTCAATCCCATTTCCACGGGGTATGAAGCGCAGCGCTGTTGACTTTATTAAAGTAGCAATCCCTCCTTCACCAAGAGCATCCGGCAGCACATTGCACAGTCTCTGACACCTTTCCGTTGTCAGTGTCATTAAATGAGTAAGTGTTACACGTTTTCTCTTAGGAGAGTAGCTTTACCCTCCCCTCCCTCCCCTTCTACTCAACCTGGTGACTCATCTCTCCGATTGCAAAGAGCAAGACGCGCCACTCCACCTTCAACGCCAAAGCGGGGATCTGCTGGGGCACAATTTGCAATTTGAGGAAAACCCCCAAAGGCTACAGGCGACCTGCTGATCAGGAAAGAATTTCGCTCTTGTCAAGTGCACCATCCTCATGACCACTAACTTGATGTTTTTGTTTTTGTTTTTGTTTTCTCTTTCCTTTGTTGTTCTGTTTCCTATTTTGCCAGGAAGTATTTCCATAGTTGCTGAGAATCAAAGCACAAAAGAGATCCCTACCTATGTAAATGTTTGAATGGAGGACGCCAGTAAAAACAAAAACAAACAAACAAATAAAATAAAAAACGATCAAAATCCAAACAGACAGACAGACAAACAAACACTCACTGCATCGGGACTTTTTAATTCTTCAGACACAGACGACAAGGGTTTTTAGCTTTAAGCCTGTGCATGTGGACAATACCTTGAACGTGCTTGGAGGGGCAGTGTGGTGGTGCTGTATTTTAATGGAAAAACACTCCCCTCCCCCTTTCCTCTCCTCTCTCTCTTTTCTGATCCGTCGTGTTTGTAGAAAATTCATAACATGTAGAGGCCAAGGAAATCTGCATGTGTTTTTGGAAATATTCTTGGCTCTCGACTTAACAGCTATTTTAGCCCTAGAGGCTGATGGGGGGCATTAGCCGCCCCAGCGCCTTTCATAAGACACAAAGACATGCACAGGAGTGTGAAACCCTGAGCTGTTTCTCTGTCCCAGTTTCTTTTCTAAGTTATCTCTGGTAGCTCCGGTGGCCAGCCATGGCCACAGGACTGCTTGCGTTCTTGCATTCTGTGCAGCCACAGGGACGAAGGAGCGAGGTGGAGTTCCACATACGGGCAGACTAGGGAAGGCAGGGAGTGGGGGCAAGCATGTCAGAAGTGGATCTCTGTTTCCTGTTCACCTCTTCTCGTCGCCAAGGCTTTCCCTTGTAGCTTTCTTACTCCTGTCCCCCAGCTTACGTAGAAGAGAGAATCCCAGGTCCCCATTGTCTGGCCTCCCCATTTGTTTGCTACCCATGTGTGGTCATGATCTGTTGATGTCTTTGTACCTCTTCCTTCCAGTCTCCAAGTTGTCTTTCAACTCCTACTTTTTCTTCCCAAACATGTTACTGGATTCTAGACATTAACTTCAGTGTTCCCTAAATACTGGCCTGGTCTCTGCTGGCCTTGCCCCCCACCACCCACACATGTCAGCATGCCAACTTCCCTACACACTGACCCAGCTGCATCCTGCCCTGCAGGTTTCGGCTCCATGTATCCTTTGTCCCCTCCTGTAGAACCTGCCTCTTCCAAATAGCTTTGCCTTTTCCCACCTGGAAACATGCAGAGCGTGTGAAAGAGTTGATGTATGCAAAATGATTCAAACCTGGCCATGTACACTGGAAAAGAAAGCATACAGATGAATAGTGGTATTCTCACACCTTAACAAAAATCTCGTGTGCAGATTCCAGAATATTCTTGTGAGAAATGTTTCGAATGTGTTACTATGTGGCAGGGCAATTTCCTTCTGTAATGGTTGCTATTACCCAGTATTTGTTCTCTCACAATACAGTAAAAATATTTGTAAAATAAAACTGATTTTAACCAGAAGAAGAAGCAGGTTAATGGATTTAATATTTAAGAGTGTTAAAAAGTCTGAGAATATATGGAGGTCTTGTCTTACATTAGGATAAGATTTTGATTATGTGGGATGATCCCAGACATCTCCCAGGTATGCTCTCTGATCTCTGAGTATCCATATTGGCAAAGGAAAAATTAGTAAACTTAAATGGGAGGAGGTAGATGTCTAACTAAAGCAGATCGGCTCAGAGCATGAACAATCCCCATTTGCCCAGAGCAATGATTAAAGAAGGTCCAGAGAAAGAAGGAAACAAAAATGTGTTCAGCAGAAGCCCTTGGAGGATTATGAATTAGGCAAAGCCCACTCTAAAATATAGGAGAAAGCAGTTTTGAAAACCATTCAGAGAGAGCAGCCTCCTGCTTGGCCATGTTCCCAGTCCAGTCACAGTTGATAACAGGGTCCTGGTGATCCTGGGGATGTCCCAAAGATCTTGGTGATCCCTGCCCTTGTGTAGCTCAGGCAGGCAAAGAGTAGCAAAGCTGCAGTCAGAAATAAATCAGACAGAAGTTTTGATGGTTGAGGGTGCCCAGGATGAATCTGGGAAATGGATTATGCCTGAGGCAGCCATCTGCTTGTAGAACTCAGTTGATCCCCAACCTGCCAGGCTTTCTATCCCATAGGAAACATCCTCATCGATCCACTTCAGTTGGAGCCTTCCAAGTTTAATCTGGAAGACAAAATGTTTGGAAACCAAAAGAGGCTCACTCAAAACAGCACAGGGAGTCCTCAGAGTTGCAGTTCAATTAATTTTAAATGGAAAATTATGAAAAAGGGAATCACCCTCTTAATCTCGCACAGTGCCTTGCCTAGAGTGGGTATTACGAAAATTACTTTGTTGAAGGGATAAATGGAAGAATATGTGAGAAGATGAAGGGAAAAATGGGTGCGTAAGTCCTAATTAAAAATAGAGGTAAACATGAGATGCCTGGCATTTTGGAAAGTGATCACAGATGGCCGGCTCTCTATTCAGCATCTCCAGGATCCTCATGTGCCTCTCCTTGAAGCTCCCTCCCACCTGTAGGACATGAGTGAGGCAAGGTACCACTCAGAGGGGACCTCATTGTTCTTACGACCTAGCGCTATGGTTCTCAAAGTGTGGTACCTGGACTGAGCAGTATCAGCATAACCTCAGACTTACTAGAATTTAGGGTCCCCCTACTGCAGACCTACTGAACCAGAAACTACAGGGGGTAGGGCCCAGCAGTCGATTTTTACCAGCTTTTCAGGTTATTGTACTGTACACAGAACTTTGGGAACCACTACACCCTGCCACTCCAGCTCAATCCCAAAGAGAAGGTAGTAATGAGAGCCTACAAGTGGGAGGGACCAAAGTGCCTACCAACTCGCTAACAGCAGGTGCAAACACAGTGAGGAGTTTGGTGGGCTTCAGGCCAGAGGAGTGGGTGGGGAGGGATGGATGTGGAAGGGAAGATTCAGGGCAAGCTAAGAATCTGATATTACCACGTTTTCCAAAAATCCCAGAAGGCAAACTGTGTGTGCTCTACCCTGAACTACCCAACCAACATTTTCTCCTTTGCCTTATTCCTAATTGGATTCACTATCCAAAATGCAGAGGCTTGCTTTGCTTTTTTTCAGAAGTTCCAAACAGCAACTTTGAGAGCAATGGGGTGTTTGGCAGCTGTTCTGTTTTCCAGGATTCCAACTGAGCATTGAAATCCCTCATTTGCCAACTTATTTTTCTAGGAAGCCAATTTCAAAAAAAAAAAAAAAAAAAAGATAAAGTTTTCTTATAGTATCGGAACTACTTCTAATTTTAAGATGACTTTTTTGATGTATTTTTTTGTTAAATACTATGTAGTGTAATGTATACTTGCTCCTGTTTATTGCTTTTACAATCATATTTATTAAACAGATAATGTCTCTAAAGTCTTGGCCTCAAGGAGTTTATTTTATGTCAAACCAAATCGTGGCGTTCAGTCTTCATACAGAAGTGGTAACAACTGTAGGATTTTATAAAGGCTAATGGTGTAAGCATACAGCAAGTACTGCAGTCTCGAAGGTTCATTTTTGTTTGTTTGCTTGCTTGCTTGTTTTTTGTTTCTGCTAACAAAGGAGACTATGTCCTACTACCTGAATTCTACTGCATTTTAGTTGACTATATAATGTCTGTGGCTTTATTAAATGACTTTATTCTACTGAAAAACCACTCCAAACTGGTCACTTTGGAGTGAGTAACATGCTTATTATGTTTCGTTCAAAATTAGAAACTATTAATATGTGACCAACCCATTCAAACTTGTTCAGAATCTTGTAGTTATGGAAAGAGCGAACCTGCCTGTAATGGAATGAGCTGAAACTCGGGGCGTGGTAAGGGCACCAAGGACAGCATGAAAAAGGCTTTGACCCTGAAATTAGGCGGGTGGAGTTCTCCTTCCAGCTATGCCAGCTGTGTGACCTTGTGCAAAGCGCTTTCCCATACCAAAGCTTCAGTGTCCTCATGCATATAATCTGAAGGAAGAAAACAACTTCCAGTTTTGGCATCCTGCGTGGGTGAGTCATTCCCAAGAGCCCCATCCAGCTGATTTAAACTCGATGGAAAACAAAGAGGTACACTGGATCCAAAATCCTCCAGCCTTGTGGCTTGCCTACGTAGGTGACATCTCTTCTTGGGCAACATTTTGCCCTTGTATTTGTATAGAAAGCCTTCCAAAGACCCACCAGGTGCAGAATGGCGTTGCCTCAACAGCATAGTTTCCGCGTGTCTGAGAATCCCTGTTTTTAGGTGGCCTTGACCCTCTCCTTTCCCACAGGCTAAATCTTCCCCCTGACCCTTCATTCTTTTCTAGGCCAGAGGCTATGCTGTGCTTCCCCCTCAGGAGTTGATCTCCTGTTCACTGAGGGTGCAGGCAGTCAAACAAAAGCCATCCCTGGAGGTTTAAAACAGAGGAGATTTAACACAGGGAATTTTTTGCTTGAGTAACTGAAGAGCCAAGATGAGCCTCAGTAGGGAGCCTCTGCCTTCCCTGGGCTGGAAGGACACAGGGATTCCCACAGCCCAGGACCAGCACCAGCCCCTTGACACTGAAACCATGGAGGACGTGGCTGGCGTTCCTGGAATCACAGAGGAGCCACCGCCTTGGCCAGCCACACTGCCCAAGTACAGGAGATGGAGAGAGGGAGCTTGCTGTCACCCTTGCTTTGGCCCTCCCATCTTCAGCCGAAGCTTCCTACCGGCCAAGCCCATCCATGAGCCAGTGGGCACTGGACCCTGGGAAATACGGTTTCCTGAACTACCAAGCAGAGCAGGGAGGAGTGGGGAATGGACTCGAGGGAACACAGGCAGGTGACTAGCACAGCACCCCTTTCAGGTTCAGCCCACATCAAATCCAAACTCTCCCCCAGTCTGAAGGCAAATAGTTAAACAGTAGGTGCCCCTTTCCCTGCGGCATCCTTTCACCCACTTCCCTTTCGACAGTACCTATTTAAACCAGGAATCTGTTTACGTGTGTCACTTTTTACACCTTGCTCACCGAATTCTACACTCGGGTAGGAAAGGATCTTAATTTTTCATTTCGGTCCTTCAGTCTCTAGTGCTGGACATGGCCATTAGGGGGCACTAGATAAATGTTTGCTGAAACTCAACCCTGGATTTTCAGCTTTGTGTAGTGAGCAGCAATCTTGGAGTTGCCATTGGCCTGACTCCCCTGGCCCAGCCAGCACCTCTAATTACATGTTCAATTGGTGTTTGTCAAGAGCCAACACATCCTTGCCCTTCCTCTCTCTTACCACTCAAGCCACTGTATTCGGGGCCTATTCTTAGATATTAATGTAAGCGAAATAACTGTAGTTTGGAAAAAGAAAAAAAAAAAAAACTGATTAGAAAAGAGTACGAAAAACAAAGCCCTAAGTTTGGTTTCTGAATCATTATGTGTTTACCTATTTCTTAGAAGTTAACAGTATTTTGAAAATGAATGTGAGGCTGATGCTTTCATAGTAGGGAAAATCCCAAAATAATTCTAGGTGGACATATAAAAGGAAATAGGTGTTATAGTTTTCATGTTAAACCCCAGAAAAGGGATCTTCGGTTGACAAAATGCAAATCTGTGTTACTCTCTGTGTGTCACAGACTTCTTTAGATGGTGATAATACAACTATGAACAAGGCAGATAGGCTATCTGCCTTTATGAGCGTATATTCTAATAGGAACAATGAACAAATAGTAAAATGTAGTGTAACAGATCCAAAGCGATCATACATATAATTAGGTAAGTAAAAATAAAACACAGCAGAGAGCATAGTGAGCAGGGATGGGGATGGGAGAGGGGGAGTTGGTCCCAGCTTCTCTAAGATCTGAAAGCTGAAAAGGAGCCAGCCATTTGGAAACACTTACATTGCCCCAACTTGTTCCACGTCACTCTTAGATCAACCTCGACCAGAAAACAAAGTTTTGGACCTCAGCACAGCAATTAGAAATGCTTCTGAGTTTAAAGAAAAATTAACTTTCACAGTGGTCACGTACAGGAATTTCCCCACAGAATTGTATATACAGTCAGTTCTGTTATGTGGCATTTGTGCTCCTAAAATTCACCTCACAATGCAGAATAGCACAATAAAAATACGAGGCTTGGGAAAAGAAATGGGACCAGGACACAAGCTTAGTGTGTAATGTGTCAGTGACACAAACAAGATACAAACCCGTCTTAGTCCATTCTGCTGTTATAACACAATAGGAGAGACTGGGTGGCTTAAAAATAACAGGAATTTATTCCTCATGGTCCTGGAGGTTTGGAAGTCCGAGATCAAGGTGCCACCACATTCAGAAGACCTGTTTTCCATCTCATACGTGGCATTTTCTCACTAGTCCTCACAGGGTAGAAAGAGCAAGGGAGCTCTAGGGCATCTTTTCTGTAACAGTGGTAATCACCTCCCAAAGGCCCCAAATACCATCACTTGGGGCATGAGGCTTTGGACATAAGAGTTTGCGAGGAGACACGAACATTCAGACCAT